GAAATTTCCGGGATATATAATGGGGAAAGATGGCATGGAGAATTTGTCTCTCACAAGTCATATTCGAGGTAAAACATAAGAAGAACGACGAATAACCAATTTAACTAGTGTGAATGGATGCTAGAACAGGAACAAAGAAGGTAAAGAGTCAAATGTTACTTAGAACGAAAAAAAGCGGGAAAATATGGAGAGCCATGGTTATACACGTAGTACATTAAAGAAAAGTAATATCCATTTACCCAAGATGTGCTCGTTATATAGCGGTTATCGGCACAGAAAGTGGGATTGGCGTGCTGAGGTTGTTATATTCACTTTCACATAAATCCATCTCTTCTTTCTCAACTCCCTAGCTATGGGTTAAATAGAAGGGCAAACTGAACTCTTTAGCTATGTTTAGCAACAAATTTAGGCTTTGAATTCAAAACTGGTTAAATGTAGGGTTAGTATCTTCAACCAGGGAAAACCTACAACAAACCACAGAAGCAACAAATAGCTTTCACACGGAAGTGTACTGGGTGATTGGTTGATACGGATTGCTCCACAGTAAAAAAGACCGTTTAATACATTTTGCATTCATTGGAGAAAAACAAATAAATTCTACCAATGCCCTCATATGCATTGTCTTAGTAACAAAGTAGATGTGATATCGTATCTTGGTTTTTAGTCATTCGCTTTTCCTTTGAGATATATTTCAGTCTTGTAATTTGGGTATAAAACCTTAAGCTGTAGCCTTTTTGTCGGAAACTCTTAGAGACAGCAATATTCTTAATTCATGAATTACATCAATGGTTCCCAAATTTTTTTTTTTTTTTCCTCAGGACCGTATTTTCGGAATGAAAATTTGCTCGCGCCTCACCAAGAAATACATTTAAAAATAAAAAATAAAAAGTTAAAGGGAGATAACCGCGGATTCGAAGTTATTGATAACTCTTTCCTCCAATTTGCGGACACTAGTTACTATATTCTTAATACTTGATATAATGTAAAAATATCACAATAATAACATCGGCCAACAATTATTTATAACTATTTATACTGAAACTCATGCATGCAATTACAAGTAAACCATAATAATATTTTAAATTTTGAAATCATATTTATTTTTGGCATATGAATTTCTGAAACTATTTCTAAATTTTTGTCTTTCAATCACTCCGCCTCACCTGTGCCTATGAGACGCACCGCAACGTATGGGAAGCAATGAATTACATAAAAATTATCCTCATCTTGTTGTTCTATCGGATACAGAAAAGTTATCACTTGATTCGCAACAAATGCAGTTTTCATACAATTTCAGTGTATTTTGACTGCAGTGAGGATTTGTTTAAAATCTACTTTATTTAATGTTTTTATATCTAGAATGGGTGCACGACTAACTTTTAAGTTTATTGTTTATAAAACACTAAAAACAGCCAAAGTTTGTTTTATTTTTTGTGCCCTTCCGAAAGAGAGAAAACTAGGTGGAAATCAATGTTACTAATAAAAAGCCAATATATATAAATAAACACGCAATAATAAAAAAAAGAATGAAAAAGGCACGCAGATTGTAATTTAATTCAATCATCCAACCCAGCCATATGAATATCTCAACAAATTTTCTGAAATTTTAAAACAAACTCAACCTATCAAGCAAGTACATATAAACAAACATAACTTAATTTCGGGTGACGTCGGTCACTTAAATTCAAAGAGAATTTATTTGCCACCATCCTTTTTAGAACAATCTGAATTTTCATTTAAAAATCCTTGTTTCTCTTTGTATCACCGGAACTAGTAAAACAACATATACAATTTTTAGCACTTTTTTTTTTTGTATGACACACATTAATTTGGAAAATCTTGCAAAAATAAAAATAATTGTCGGATGTTAATGAAACTTTCAGAAACTATTCACAGATGATCGAAATTATTATAAATATGTTTTCTTTTATTAAAGTCATGGCAGAAATATATTTTTTTATATTTATTACCCAACCCCATAACTAATTTTATGAAAACTCTAGAAATTTGATCAAGTCCACTTTAGTAATTACAATAGTTAAAAACACAAGGCTTTGAGGAATGCAAATCATGTTTTTGGTTTTGTTTTTAATTGGACCCCCCACTCCTACCTGAAAATCATCTTTGAATTATAACATACAAAACTCAATAAAACAAATATATTATTTAATTTCAAATGCTTTTATTTGCTTTTAGTTGTTTTTATGAATATGGACAATATTTTCTGAAAGCAAAAAAATTTCGATGAAAAATGAATTTTTAATACAATTATTTGTTATTTTTTAATTATAATAAATTTTTACATTTAAGTTGTTAAAATACTATAAAATTAGTTAAAACCCGCATCCACATTCGTAAGTGTACTTATGAGATAGATCTTTTTTAGCGCGTTGTAAATTGTATCATTTTGACTAATCAGGAGACCCGCAGTAATTAAGAAATGTAATTTTGTGTTTATAATCGGGCTCTAATTATAACGTACGGCAGACCAACCAGAATACAATTAAGTTGCGTTATTTGAGTTAATCATTGTTCTCCGCTGTTAAGGCCTTTACTTTTGCGAAACACGTGTGGAGAAGTTTATTTGATTTTTCAATTTCAACTGAGAAGGGTACCTACAAGTATCAGTATCATCTTATGAAATTTATATGATCTTATTTTTAAATTAATCTCAGTTATGGCATTTTTCCATAAATGAAATATCAAAATTAATGACAAAATGAATGGAAACACAAATAACACAGTAAAATGTAGTAAATGTACATAAAATTATAGTATTTTACGTACACATCTGATAAAATTTCATAAGAAAGGTATCTATAAATTAATTAGATACCTTTCTTATGAAATTTAATCTCACTCTTAACAGTTTTATTTTAATTTCTTTATAATATATTTTCCATAAAGCATCGTAAACGTAAAGGTGAAAGCTAAGTACAAAAAACAAAAAAATTAGAGCGCTGAAAGTTTTCCTTAAAAATAACGAAGTAAATAATTTGTTCACTAAATGTAAATAATTTCACTTTTCTCCTTCCGTAAAACAAATTATCCTCACGGAATCCGTCAATGTCATTCATCACCTGTCAAGTGACGCGAAAGTCTATGACTTGCTTTGTTTTATTTTCAAATTACATCTTTTCGGCGCAGAAGCTAAGTTAAGCTTGGTTCAAAATATTTTAAATAAATATTATAATTTCTGATTTTCTTAAAATAAGTTTCGAAAAAATGATAATTGATATTTAAAAGAATTTCAACTGAGATTTTCATTTTTTTTTTTTTATAAAATGGAAAAAATGTTTGCCATCTGCCAATTTTGCTGACTCAAAAAAAAACAAGATTTTTAACGAAAATTTCGGACGTGCTAGGAACGATTAAAAAATGTAAAAAAATACCCCCAAAATACTTTGATCTTTCCTCTTAATAACATAAACATTTAGACGATAACATTTTGTTTTCGTCAAGTTTGGCGTCTTTTTCATCATGCTATGCTCTTTTTTAGCGATCTCGTGGAGGTAACTATCTTAGTATAATTGAGACATACTGTCTTGGGGATGTATAACTGATCACCTGGCTAGAATTGTTTACTGTACCTATTCATCCCGGTGAAAGGCAACAGAACGATCCGATATTTTTAAAAATCTGCACAGGAACTGAACTGAAAAAAATGAATTGAAAAAAGAAATCTAGATGTTTCTCCCGTTCGTCGTTTAGGTTTTCAAATCGCTAATGTGGTTAGGAGACTTACCAACTCAGCATCTACCTCTTCTTAACAATAAAGTTGTGTCCATTGTGTGACGAATGCACACTTTGAAAAGTATCATATTGACAACAAGAGAATACGTAGATATTTACAGCAAAATAGACACGCCCGTTGATTCAGACAAGAGCGAAGTTAACACCGATTATATGTAAAACGCACTTGGATTTTTCTTTTTCTTTAAGGTGCACTAAGTGTTGTGCTTACTGATGGCGGCGTTTGTGACAAGGGGTGCGTGATTTTTTGTTATTGAGAGACAGAATGAGCAGCACACGTCATAAACATATACAAAACAAAAACGTATATTGTAAAAACGAGATAGAAAAAAATGACGTGCAAGTTTTAGGCAATGTTTTCCCATTTTAAATTCTAAATTTTTTTTTTTTCAGAATTCTTTGTGTTTGAAGGTATAGCTTCGTCTATACACATAAAAAACATATCGATGTAAAATGCTGCCAAGCGAATTAAAATGTCATGCAATTCGAATTGTATAAACATACTAGTTATACTTTTCTGTTTATATTTTTATTCTTTGAGTATTGTTTCGGTCAGTCAAAAAAATGGATCATTTTGTCATAAAAATTATACTGAAATAGCCCCTCTCCCTCTCTCTTTCTCTCTCTGTATCTATCTATGTGCCATCTGCCTTCAGGGCGTGGGCGATAATCGTTTTTTCTGTCTTTGTTACTTTTTAACGCAAGTGCGTTGGCATCCGTCCATTTCGACAGGATTCGGCTTAAAGATTTAATTCAGAGTTTTCCATCTCCTAAACTATCTGATAACCAAGGTAATACCGACCAGTCTTCCTACTATTTAACCCATAGCTGGAAGAAGCTATATCCAAGTAATAATTTAACGAGTATATTCGTCAAAAACCGTATATCCTTTTCCCGAAGGCTTAAAATAAAAAGGTCTGAAGAATTGTGTCTTAGCCTCCAACACAAAATAACACAAATGTAACGGACATTCAATAATCTCACACTGCAATTACTAGATAGATTTGGTCATCCTATATCTATATTACATCATAAAGGCATGAATTAGATCCTCCCTGGAAGCCCTATTATTGTGGCTTTGTTCCAGATTACGCTAAAGTTAGTAAGGGATAATAAAGGAGTGATGGTATTAGATTATCTTGAAGAGTAAATACATTTTTAATACAAAATTTATCTTAAAAAAAAGCAAATACTTTTTTTAATGCAATAATAATCGTCAATTGGATTGTTAAAAAATGATAAGGCTTACAGCCACATCTCGTTGAAACACCGGTTCTCATACGATCACCGAAGTTAAGCAGCGTCGAGCCAGGTCAGCACCTAGATGGGTGACCGCTAAGGAATATCAGGTGCTGTAAACTTGGATGTGCGTGTGGTATAATGGATAACGGCTCGGATTTGTTAATAAGAGAGTCAAGTTCCAAATCCAGTCGTGTTCGTTGTATTCACTTTCCTTGGGAAATGTATGAATCCTCCCCTTCACACCCTGCCACCAACAATGAAGTCATTAATCATCATTATCCACAAAAAATTCTTACACTCTAGAAATATTTTCTGGCTTTAAATAACCTGCATGTTGTAACCTAAGGAAGGTTACTGAATATAATAATCACACGAAGGTTGGTAATGAACAATAATACTTAGGACAAGAACAACACATATAAGATTCGCCAGCGGCGCGTAGAAGTGGTCAACTGCTAGAGGCGAGTCAAGTGAATTCCACAATGAATCTCCAACTGAAGGATATCTAGCAACCACCGAAGTTAATGTGAGGTATCTGAGCCTGTAGGCTCGGCTAAAAAATCCCCGTAGACCCCCATATAAAACGGGATAAGTTAGCTCTTTCCCGAGACGAGACTCTGCTCTTCGACATAGACTCGTCTGGGGATCCTCTCTGCCTGGAGACAGAGAGTTTGACCAGCACAGATGGAGACGAATCTCCGACTGCAGGATATGTACCAACCGCCCCACGCGATCAGATATGTCACAAGGTCGAATTTAATGTGGGGTATCCGAGCCTGTAGGCTCGGCCAAAAATTCCCTGTAGACCCCGTATAAAACTGGGTCGGTTAGCTGTTTCCCAAGACAAGACTCTGCTCTTCGACATAGCCTCGTCTGGGGATCCTCTCTACCCGGAGGCAGAGAGTTTGACCAGCACAGCTGGAGACGAATCTCCAACTGCGGACCAACATACACTATTTACTACTGTATTTATGTGAGTGGGGACATACCCATTATCGTCCGTAGGTATGCTACAATACTGCAAAAGGTTGATAGGCCGTAAAAAAAAATGAATCAGTCATTCAAACAGAAATTATATCTGGTTGAATAAGAAAAGGAAGAAAAGATACGTTTTATACAAGTATAAAAAATTTTAAATCTATAAAAAATTATGTTTTTGTACAAACGTCACTTGTCTACGATTTATTACTGACTGGATACAGTAATTGTGGTAAAAGACCGAAAAGGGGAGATAAGTTGGGGTTGGTTGATACTAACTATTCTATACCTAGTTAATCAGATTCACGGTCCATTCATTTATTACAATTTTCTCATTCCCCACAAATCTCATCCCTCATCATTCAATCCTACATATACCACAATACCACAAGTTATTCTTTCTGAGATGTTCAGTTTAGAGGAGTTGTAGCGCATACATCACCAAATAAGAAAATGAAAATTTCAACAACTTTTGCTCTTTTTCGTTTATTAAGTATTAAATTGCATCACTTAGCACCCTTCATAATTTACCTTGACTTTCACATGTAGCCTGAAGAATATTAATGAGCGTTTTACATTGAAAACTTTTGAAAACCTATTTATTCATGGATTTTTGCACACACACGTGCGCGCACACACTCACATATACTATATATATATATATATATATATATATATATATATATATATATATATATATATATATATATATATATAGGGGGGTCAAATTGATGACTAAATCCTGTGAGGAAAGCTTGTGAGTATCTACTGGCACAAGTAAACCGGTGCAGTATGATGGAAAAGCAACAACTGAATTCAGTGAATGATATGTCGCAAAGCATCAAGGAAGTAGACTGTTAATTTTGTTAAATGACAACTTCCGTTCTCTAGTTGCACATTCGACACATTAATTGAATATCGAGTTAGTATGGGAAATCCTTCGACATGCAGTGTACTCTCCATACATGTCAACTACAGACTTTCATTTGCCGTGAATTCATGTGTAGAAAAGACTTGTCAAAATAATCTGTAATATGTAAAGAAATATGAGAATATTATAAAATCAACAACTAGCGATGTATTTAAAACTTATTTATTTATAGATTAATTCAATTCTTCTTTTCATTTTGGCAATTTTTTTTTCTCGCGCACAACCTCAACTTTCTTTCACTCAGTTCTTTCACGTTCTCTTTACCTGGGCATTCAAATTGCGCAAGACTGGTATATGAAAGCAGGAGTCTTCTTTGCTTACACTACTCTACTAATGTCCCTTGTTCACAATTTATCCTAAGAAATGAAGGAATGGGAGATGTCAAGAATGATCACGGGGGTAAAATGTATAGTAAAAATAATAATTTTTTATTACACAAAGATTGTATATCCTGAAAAAAATCTAAAGCACCCAGTGCATGGGTAACCTACATAAACCCTTCACCATATATAAGTGGAAAAAAGATTTCGTATGACGCGTTTCGTCTTTTAGGACTTCATTAGACCAAATTTGTTACGTTGGCGCGACTACACATGTACACGAACGGAAAGTGCTGGGAATATAAAGAAGAAATTACCGGCACCCTTTGTCATATATTTTCCTCCAATATATATATATATATATATATATATATATATGAAGAAATATAGTTTTAAGGTGTGGTATATTTATGGGATAAAATGATCAATATCAGAGATAGAGCGTATGTAAATATAAATATAAAAGTGAACATTGGAGTCAACACTCAGAGGCGACAGGCTGTTTCATACTGGACACAATCGTCGATTGCGTCTAGCATGAAACAGCCTGTCGCCTCTGAGTGTTGAGTTCAATGTTCACTTTTTATATATATATATATATATATATATATATATATATATATATATATATATATATATATATACTAGGAGGTAAATCGACGACGGAGTCCAATGAGATAAGGCCCAGAATGTTTTGGATTATCCTTTTGCCATAAAGTAAGCTAGTGCCGCATCATGGAAAAGCGACAACTGAACTTAATGAAAGGTAACATACAAACAAGTCTAAAAACCAGTAAGATAAGATTCCTTTGGAATGTATGCACGTACGTATATCAATGCAGAGCAACTGGGATCAGAGTTTCAAGTTACTCATGTCAACCACATTACCGGGATTCTCACACTGAGGGGCAGCAGACCTCTACAGTTGTCACGACCATCTTACATGAAAGAAATGCCAAAAGCTTCCTGCCTTTGATCCTTAACGAAAGATGCCACCCAAGACCTAAGATAAGTATTAAGAAACAGGAAAATTTCCTTTGAAACAAAGAAAAGAGTGCTGAAATCTTATGTAATATCCGCCCTCTTATATGGCTGTGAATGCTGGACAATCTCCTTAGAAAGGAAGAAGAGAATGAGGCAACAGAAATGTAGTCCCACAGAAGGATGCTGAGAATCCCACGAACTCAAAATGTGAATTAAGAGGAAGTTTTAAGGAAAATAGAAGCAAAAAAGGACACTTATACTTAGAATCAGAAAGAGATGATTGAAATTTCCAGGGCATATAATGAGGAAAGCAGGCTTGGGGAATTTGACGCTAACAGGATATATCAAATTCAACAGAGACAGAGGAATGCAGCGAATAACCTACCAAAGCTAGTTTGTGTAGTTGGCTAGCAGAACAGGGACTGGGAGGAATAGCAGAAAAAAAAACCTTAATCAGAGTTACAAAAGACAGGAAGTTGTGGAGATCCATGTTCGGCCACTAGCAGAAAGAACAAGGCACATAAAAGAACTAATCAGTATAGTGATACTTCAGATAAATTTTTATTGGCAAAGGTTGGAGGTCACTTAGAATTGTTATGGAAAGGTCTGTAATAGTCGCGGAAAGCCCTTAAAACATACTACGTTCGCGATGTCAAGTCATATGGTCATATACATCAATAATTCAGCAGGCAAATGACGCAAAAATCATTTGACACAACAGATATTTATTATTCAAGAAAACTCCCTTCTTTGTCAATCGCCTACAGTCAAATCACGCTGAAAATACTGGTTCTCGTTTAATTACCGAAGTTAAGCAGCGTCGACCACGGTTATTACTTAAATGAGAGACTGCTTGGCAAAATCAGGTACTGTAAACAACCTTCTACAATCTGAAATATGTTTCGGCTTTAAATAATACACAAAGTTTTGATAAGCCGTAAAACAAATCCATCAATGTAATTAATTCAACAGTGAATTCTAATCATATAGAACGAACAATTATACAATTAAATTTTCTGATCAAAATTCCGCTAAATATTTTCGTGTCAATCCACAGATTTACTGGCCCTGTTTCATACACACATGCATATATATATATATATAGAGAGAGAGATATGGAGAATGAGAGTGAGAGAGATATAGAAGCAGAGGCAGATCCCCCCCCAAAAAAAGAGACGGATGAATATATTGAGATCGGATTCAATGCAATTTTGGTTAATCATTATTATTTTTTTAACATTCATAAATAATGTCCTTTTGATCGAACTAGTGAACTAAATATAGAAATATAGTATTGGGTATCATCCATCGAGGAAAATACATATATGTATTTGCGTATATATGTTTCTTTCTTTCTTTCTTTCTCTCTCTCTCTCTCTCTCTCTCTCTCTCTCTCTCTCTCTCTCTCTTGTGTGTCTGTGTGCGCGCACGCGATCCGTGAGTATTTGCACCCGCATCAAATCGGGGGCATATTAATTGTGAATTATTTTTCGAAATCTGAGGCCTGATTTCGAATCTTGACAAAGATCAGCTTTCGTAGCACAAACTACATTTGCTTCTGGTAGTGTTATTTTCCTCAAAGATGTGATTGGTTTGAGTACAATAAATTTCCTCCAACTTATTCTCATATTGTTCTAATTGCTGTTCTACAAAAACATCAAAAAATTTTCTTTATTTTTTCTTTACGTTTTTGTCTTTTTTAGACAGATTTTCAAAAAGAAAACTAATATCATTTGTCTGAGTTTGGAATTATTTTCGTCTTCCGATGCCATATTGTTCTGGCAATAAACAACCACACCCGCAATAAATCATTTTCTTTTTAATTTTTTTTTTTTTTTTGGTCGTTGAGGAAATAATGCATTAATCGCTTGAAATTGGTTTTGTATTTAAATGGGGCGTATCG